AAATTCTATACTTAGACATCACTAATACTGCAAAATTCTTCAGTTTAATTCTGGTTTAAACACACTTTACTCTCTCCTTTTTCACATGTTTAACTACTGTTATTGGTACATTTAAAACACAGAAACATCCTAGAGAGTAAGTGAAGATCCTTCCACCCGGGTATATACATATTAGTCCCCAGGGCCCAGGACACCTCGTTGCCACTTCATTTAGCCCCACTCATGCATATCTGTTCCTTTCTTTTCAGATTGAAATTGAAAACAACGATGATAAATACATGCGCGGTGATCCGTTGATGTATCCCTATTACATCACAACCGTTAATCAGGAGTCTAACGAACAGTGTCTACCTGACAAGTTTTGCGTCGGACAAGGTACACCAACAAATGTCTATATGAATGAATGAATAGAAGATCTGTGACCCACAAAAACGCATTTTTGTATTTGATTTGCTCACAGATTCTCCAAAGCCCGGTACGGGTTTTATGACTCTCATCGGTGACTCCTGGTATCTTCGTGGCATTTACTATTCGGGTAGAAATGTTACTGATCTGGCTAATGTCAGTGTCAGAACTTGGGTACAGAAGACGTTCAAGGCCATCGTTCAAGATTCCACACCATTCAGCATTTAGAGTAGTGTTGTAGAACACGGTTTATTCTGAAGAAAGAGATATAGGAATGGGCCGCCGCCGGCGGGCCAACTCGCCTGTGCTCACCCGGCAATAACGGTGTCTAATTTTTTGAGGGGAAGGGGAAAACTTTGAGGAACGCCTCTGGTTTGCAAAACTCCTCAGATTTTGAGACAGTTTCCTCAAAATAGTGGAACTTTTCCATAGTTTTTGAGAATATTCCTCAAAATCTGAGGCGAGATCGGAGGATTCTTCCTCAAACATGAGAGTTCATCAAAGTTTTCCCTTTTTTTCCTTAAAAAATAGGACATTGTTTTCATCGTGCAGCCTGACATAGGTCCACAGAAGCTAGCCGCCCAGCCCGGGCCACGAACCCATGGGCCTCAACTCGGCTCATCTCCCTACGTTCCCAAAAACTGTTGGCCTGTAGCTTCGGCGAAACTCCGTGTGCTGCCGTTTTGGACGCCAACGACCCGCTGGGCAGCCCGTTACTCATACCTACAGTATGGTTCTTATATATCTTTATAAAAACTACTTCTAGTTATAACAATGGAACCTGGTGAAGGTCGGCTAAATACTGTGTCGGTATTTTAAGTTAATTTGTAATGCCTAAGATTTGTTTTTGTTTTAAAATGTCTTCTGATTCTGTTTGTCAGTAATAAATACAAACAAGTTGCAAAGGTGTACCAAATGAATTTGCTACATAATTAATCTGCTCGTTCTTTACGGAATTTGTTTTGTGCTTGCCAGGGCACGTTGTTTATGGTTTTGTGCATGTAGCGCCTGCAAAGCAGTAGGTAGGCAATCACGCCATGCAGTCATGTGACAATGGTGGTGGTACATGATACCGGTAGGGGTTCTGGTTCTGGGGTTTGAAATGGCGGTGAAGTCTTCTTGCCAGACAGTTCACGGAAAAAAATTGTTCCCGCATTCAATGAAACTTTTTTTGCATGTGGCATTTTACATTTGGTGTATGCCTAGCGCAGCGTGTTTTAGGAGTGAACTCCTCGGGTTCTAGTCAGGACAATGATTGTGTCAGAAGGTTAAGGCTATCTCGTTATATTGAAGCTACGACATGATACAGTGGTTCAGTGGTTCCTCTCTACACTCATCCTCCTAGCGCTCCTCCGAGACGACTGAGCTCTGGCCTGCCCTGCACCTCTATTTATGCCATCGGGAGCGTCCAGCGTGGAGGGCTGATTTGCTGGGGTTGCATTCCCACGATAAGAGCATCCTCCCGCCGATCCGCGCCGGGCGGATGTCATTTGAGCCACCCGCCTTTGGCCATCACCTGCTGGGGGCATTGGCAGCGCAGCTAGCGACGGCCAAAGCGGCCGGCGCGGGCAGCGCCGATCAGCGCGGCCAGCAGGGCTAGCGTGGTCAGCGGGGCCAGCGTCCTCCAACATAAAGTTAAACAAGTAATTGACAAATGCAAAGCCCTACCTAATGAGCTCTCGTTATACAATAAAAATTTTCTACCTGGATGAGTGCAGAGACAACTTAAGATTTAAACAAAACAAATGCGACAAACAAGGTAAGCAATACAAAAATGCAACGCTTGACAAGATGAGTGCAAAGTAATTATGAAATCTAGTGCATCAACATAAAAATTCCAAAAGTAGTAAGGTTGAGAAAAATATGGGTAAACACATAGTGCAAGTTTAAGTGAATAATCTAGGCAAATTTAAAAATTTGAGCATTACTAGTTACATTCTTACTTCAATGCAAACAAAACGACAAAATCAATGACCATTACATGCAGAGTAATACGTGAAAGTACCAATTAAATTTGATCGATTCAATACTTGCAAAGTAATCCCGGAAAAGTACTAATTAAATTTGATTGATTTAAGCAGTGGCAAGCCATCTAAAATACGAAATTCGTCAGAAAGCAAGTAAAAACGTAACATCAATGAGTAGATTGCAGATTGCAAACAAAAGGTGAAGCACGAACAAAAGCAAATTAAATGAATTTCAAATAAAGCAGAACAAGATG